GATGGTTAAAGAGTGAGTGGGCAGTTATGTGTGCATTTCCAGTTATCTTCCTCAGATATTTACACACAAAAACACAAAAAATGCTCTGATGTCAATGCTCCTGGCTCTCCACTGGTAAAAGCTAATTTGGAGCAATATACTGTATTAAGATTTTCCTAGTGAATGTTAAAATACTTTTGCTTTTGGAAGCTTATAAGAAATATCAACTTGAATCCTTCTAGTACCTAACAATGTGGCCACTTTTATCTGCTCTCAAGAACTTAAAATGATGTCAACAATGTTTAAATTGTAATCTGGTAATTCTTAAGTGTTCCTTGAATCTATATCAAGTTGCCTACTGACCAAAATTGTTTTCTCTTAAAATTTAATAGCAAATTAATTTATTTTAATTTTTATGAGGGCCAATGAAGATGATTATTTGCTACTGTGATTTTAGTAAAGGAATAACAGAAGATGAAAAATGTCATCTAAGTAACATTTGATGAGAAAATATAATAGAACCTTGAATGCTTCAGCTGAAATTAGTTTCTATTGTGTATATCATCTGTGGGTAATATGCAGAGGAAGCAAAAAGAGAATCGGATAGACTTGCCAGGTCTATTCTGGAGTCTTGAAAGTTTCAGACTGAGTTGCTGTAAGCCTAGGGGGTTGTGGGGGAGAAAAGGAAGGAAAGTCACCTGGGACATTTCTCCTATTTATAAAAAATTTAAGTCTTTGTTTCAAGGAAACAACTCCCATTATAACTGGTAAACATGTTGGTTGGCAACTGATATGTTAGTTGTAGTTGTAATATTGACTAGTGATGAAAAAGGAAGTGAGATGGGAAAGGCAAAAGGACTTCATCTGCTAAGACCTCGGTTCCGTGGATAAATGCTGCAACATGTTGAGGTTGAATCAGAAACTGATGAAGTAAAAAGGCTATTATTGTAAGTCTTGGAAAAAGATGAAATAAAAAGCTATTTGAAAGAAAAATCATGTTACAAAGCCAGAGAGAGGCTTCAAATGTGTTCCCTATCTTCTGGGTATAGTGGGAACAGCTGACTGGCCATGTCAGCTGGACTTCTGAGTCACTGAGGGCCTCCTTGGAGTCCCCTCTTTGTGCTGGGCAGGATCCTAATAGTACTGATAGATTTTCGAAGGAAATTAAGAGCAAAGAAATGCTTTCATGGTATAAAGTTTAACAAAAGCCATCATACTACAGAACTTATATTTTCATTTTAAATTTTCTAATAATTGAAATGTGAATGATTCACACACTGGTGAGACATCTTAATTAGCATTGCCAATATGGCACAGATATGATTTAAAAATCAGCTTTACCAGGTTTTAATAAAGCCAGAATGACAAAAACAGTACAAGTTGATAGCAGGAAAACTGCGAGTCCTATGAATTTGTGTGCAAGTATTGACCCTCTATAGTTCATTCTGTCTTTCCGCCTGTCTGTCCGTCCAACCCCTGCCTTACTTCCTCTTTCTCTCCCTCTCTCCCTCTCTTTCTCTCTGCTTGCCTAGTGGAGCTTGAACCTAGGGCCTTGCACATGCCAGGCAAGTGCTCTACCACTAAGCTACACCCCCAGCCCTTTACAGAAAGGCAATAGAAGTAGAATGGTTAAACACTAGAAAAGAAGAACAAAACCGAAGGATTCACACAACCTTATTTTCTATAAAGCTACAATCCTGGAGAAAAGACTGATATATAGATCAGTGGAACAGAATACAGAGTTTAGAAATAAACCCAAATACACATGATAAATTGATTTTTGAATAGGGTAAAAGGCAATTAGGTGGGCATGTACAGCCTCTATAAGAATTAACTCAAAATAGATCAGTGGTGGCTGGGGTGAGGGTTAAAGAGGGAAGTTGACCACTAAGAGATACGGGAGGCTTTTGAAGGAGGTAATAACAGTGCCCTATACCCTGACTGTGGAGGGGTGGTCAAAATTCACAGGAGGTGAATTTTATGATTTATAAATTATTTTTTAAGAAGGGAAAAAGTCTGCCTTAGAGCTGGGTTACAGCTATGAAGAAAGAAAAAATATCTAGTTGGTAATATTCAGGCAATAAAACCTAAGTAATTATAAGTTAGTTATTGAATGGAACACACCTGAGAAAGATAAAATACTAAAGAGTTCCCAAATGTGATGCCTTGAGTATCCACATTTAAAAAAGTTCACCTACCTGCATTTGGATTTAATCTAGAATATGCTGGAAATCACAGGACTGCTTTTCATTTCCTGAGTGCAAATAAAGAAGTGCTTTTGATGATTAATTACCAAAATTTTCAGTCTAGAAACCACACTGCCTATCTTGTAAGTCCTGCAGTCATCTCTAATTCCAGCAATGAGTTCTCTGTCTTACTCCCAAATCTGTTGTTTATTGCTATCTTAGCAAAGAATATCACCACCCGTGCAGTTGCTTAGTAAAGAAATCAGGGCGCCGTTTTTGACTCCTCCCTTGGTCTTTCCTCTTTCACTGAACAAATGAATTTATCAAGTTATGATGATCCTATTTCCTACACACATCATCTCTGCTGTGAGTCAGGAGGCAGCATGGAAGTAGGAGTTAAACCTGGCTGGGCCTGGAGGTTGGGAGTGGTACCAGATGAGGCAAGCGAGGTAAAAGGGACCAGGACCATGTTAATTACTGGATGTCTGTGCTCATCCAGACACACCTCCAGCATGTTCTCCAATCCTACTTCCACCATTCCAGTATCAGTTACCACTTCTCCTCTCCGAAGACCTCAACAGTCCCTGCTCTCCCTAGATCCATTCTCATTTCCATTTCAGTTCATTTTTCTGCATTGCATTAGAGCGTTCTTTTAAATGTACTGTGCTATTCTGAAAAATAAAACAAGAGATTCTGATAAGATCCTATCACCGCTTCCTTAAAACCTTTCCATGTCTTCCTCATTCTTTTAGCACAAAATCAAAATAATTAATGAGGTTCCTGCTTTCCTCCCACGCCTCCTCTTGTGCACTCTTTTGCCCTCTAGACTGGTCATGCTCAACTTCTTGTTCCGTGCTGCTTGCTGCTTCAGAGCAGTGACCCTCCTTGTTGCACAGGCTGCTCCATCTGTTGGCAACACTCTTTTGCCCACTCTTGCATTTAACCTTGATTTGCTCACTCCTTTTTTCTTTCAGGGGCAGCTAACATGAAACTTCCAGAAAGCCTTCCATGACCCCTCAGGTCTGGTTTGGGCAAACTCACTCTGCACTCTTACAGCACGGTTCATCTGTAAGTACTTGCAGTGTAATAAAAAATATATATATATACTTGGCCCTGGTCCCAGGTTCCTGGCACAGAGCTCTTAAAGCCCTTGGAATCTCCTCAGTGATGAGTCTTTTTGTTTTGTTTTGAAATGAGATGACTGGTGGCTAGGGACCCTTAGGCAGCTTTCAGGATAAGAGCTGGCTGCCAGAAGGACCAAGAAGCCATGAGCAGAGGTTTCAGACTTACAGCCCCATCCCTGACCTGAGTAGGGAGAAGGGCTGGAGACTGAGTTCAGTCACAATGATTCGATCAAACATGGATACATAATGAAACGTCTACGTAAGGGGGTCCGGGTTGGTGGAGACACTGACAGTGCCAGGAAGGTATGGGTCCTGAGAGGGAATGGAATCTCTGCTACTCCTCATGCCCATCTGAGCCTTTCCTATGGGCCGCTTTCATTTGCTGCTCCTACGCTGCACCGTTTATAGTAAATTGTAAATGTACATAAGTACTTTCCTGAGTTCTGTGAGTTATACTAGTGAATTATCAAGTATGAGGGGGTCCTAGCGGCCCCTGAATTTGTAGTTGGGCTTGGCAAAAGTGGCACCACATTTGTGAATGTTATCTAACATGAGGGTAGTCTTATGGGACTGAACCCATATAGCATGAAATGTCTAACTCCAGGTAGTTAGTTTGACAATTGAATTGTTGGACACTCACTTGGTGTTCAGAAAATTGACAGAAATAGTTTCAGAATTAGTGCTGGAAAAGACATCACACATTTGGAGTCAGAAAGAACTTGGGAGTACCATATTCAACACCTATGTACAATTTCACTGACTGTAAGTTCTATGTGTTTATCTTGGCTACCATTACAACCCCAGCACCTAACACAGTGCCTGGCACACTGTTCAACACATAATGGGTGAACACACAAAGGGAGTGCCCACCACTGGAGTGCAGCAACTATTTGTTCTCTGGGACAGCAGCCGGTCATGGGTCTTCCCTGGCTCTGCTTGTGATACAAGCTACGAAACAAAAAGAGAGTAACAGGTCCACCTTTTCACTATGCAGTGCAACAGCCAACTACGGGATAGGGTAAAAAGGGGTGAGATGCAGCCAATGTGCTACTGTCCTAAAGAAGCAGCACAGCTGAGCATAACACAACTATCCCGTCAGAGCCCTACTAATCTCTTCACGCTGAGTCCTTCATGGTGCCAAGTTCTGTTCTCCTAAGAAGGTACTAAGCAGTACACTTCAAACTCTGTGGCACTGCCTTCTAAAAAGTACTGTAAAATAAATGAAAATAATCTAACTTGTTAGACTCAAACATAGTGGAAAACTTCTCAATACTGTGCTAAGTTCTTTCAAGCCAGTTATCTAATTGAGAAGATCATGCACAGGTGTACAGGCATACACCTGTCTACCATCAGGCCTGTAACAGCACTGATTCCACAGTCTCAGGTATACAAGCCCTCACTAGGACTTGCAAGTACTCATCTGCACGTGCTGACTGGATGCTCTGTCAAGGTTCTTAAAAGCAGACTCACTGTCTACATCCTCTCTGTTCTAGATTTCATGCCTTCAAGGTCAGACAATATCTTGTCTTCCAGTGCCAAGCAGATAGAAGAGGCTCTTCAAACCCTAAATAGGACTGAGAAGAGATCCCATGCATTTAATATCCACCAGGTACATTTGCTGAGGTCCACAGGTCTGGAAGAAAATGAGGCCAGGACTGAAAATACTAGCAGGATAAGACTACATCCATCTTGCCACTGAAATGAGACTTACCTGTGATGGAGTTATTCTTCCTCTTTTAATTTCCGATGAATTTTCACTTAGTTTTCCTACTTTGTTACTTGAGCTGCATTTGTAGCATGTCCATCTTGCTTGGCCCTCAATTTCTACAGTGCATTCTTTGCTTTGCAGACAGAATGAATGATACAAATGGCCACAGCTGTGAAATGAAGACAACCAATTCACACTCTTCATTATCATAAGAACCACAAACTGTGATAAGAATGTACTTATATGCAGTAAAGGTTTCTAACAAGCTGCAATGTCCTTTGATTGAATAGGGCAAGGAACAGGAAAGGAACGTACTTGTTACTGTCCTCTCTTTAGAATTCCCGACTCATATATCTGCGTCCTTATGTTGTGTGGAGGAAGGGAATCACAGTACTCTGACTACAAACCACCTGGAGGATAAGTCTAACTTCTGTTTATTCCTTAAGCTATGAAAATTTGGCAGTGTTTTTAGGGAGTGTGAAATAAAAAGGCAATTGGAAAAAATCATAATTATGTAAGTAGCTTAATAATGATACAAGTGGTCTGTCTTGTCAAACTCAAGACAAGAGTTATGCCTTGATGAAACAATGAGAAAAAAGTCACTGTTAATGCAAATTCCTACAATACTAGGAAGAAAGTCCCTATTGTTTACACTAAATTACTGAGCCTCCCAGAAGTTGAATACTGAGTATAACTCTCAGTCATCTTTACTGGCTTCTCCTCCTTTCTCCGATCTGAAATGTTGGACTAGCCCAGAAATTAGTCCTTTTCTCTATATAACCTTTATACTCTTTCTTTTCTCTACACTTTTTCATTTTCTATACAACTTGTCTCTTCTATACTCTTTTCTATCTCCCTCTGCTCCTGTGATTACTTCCAGTTCCAAAGCCTTAAGATACCACCTAAAATGTTTATGACTACCAAATTTATACCTTCAGCCCTGACCTCTGTCCTAAGCCCTGTCTTATATCCTCAAGAACTCTCCTGTGGATATCTAATACACACTGTAAATTTAACATGACCAAGACCAAGCTTCTTTTCCACCCTACTCCATCTTCACTGCACATTTGCATCCAGCCTTCTACATCTCAATAAATGGCAACTAGATTCTTCATTGTCTCAGGCCCAAAACTTTGGAGTCACCTTGACTATCCGCTTTCTTTCATATTCCACATCCAATCTATAAGCAAACCCTAGCAGCTCTACCTTCAGGAAACGTTCAGAATCCTTCCACTTACTCTTCTGCTCTCTCTCATATAGTTTACTGCAGTAGCCTGACTGGTCACTCTCATTTCTCCTTAGTCTGTCCTTAGTCCATTCCCAACACAGCAGGCAGACTGACTAATTTAGACCACGGCACCCTTACCTCCAATGCCACCCAATGGCTTCTCATCTCTGAGCAGAAACCTAACTTCTTATAATGATGCAGTTCTTACATGATTTGGCCTCTGTTCCTCCTCTGCAGTTTTCTCTTGTCATTTCCCATCATTTCTTTGTGCTCGGGCCCACTAGCCACACACTCGCTGCCCCTCAAGTGTGCCAGGAATGGTGCAGCCACACTGTCTCCCACTTACTGTTCCTCTGCTCTGCCTGGGCTACTGTTCCCTCAAACTGCACGGCCACTTCCTTAGGTCTCTTACTCAAATGTCACTTAAACAATGGGGCTTCTCTGACTACTATTCATAAATTAATAGTTCTCATTTGCTTTCCTCTATACCATGTTTTATTTTTATGAGTTTAACTACAATTACATTTAATTTTTAATTTTCTATTAATTTTAATTTTATTTTCTAAATTGTTTGTAACTTAAACAGTGAGGCATTCCCTCCATATACTATATCCAGACCCCAAATAATCTGTATGTCCCTCAATATGTTTGATTTTCTTTTCCATAGTAGTTGTTGTTATCTGGCACTTTACTTATTTGTTTGTTTGTTTTCTGGCCCTGCCCCCAGAATATACAGTGGACCCTTGACTTACGAACTCAATTTGTTTGCAAGAGCTGGTTGCAACAACAGTGAAGGCTCAGGCTCCTCACAAAGCCTTCAAAGTCTCTCTCTCCTGTACACAGGCAGATCTCAGTGTCCTCAGAGAGACACTGGCCCAGGATTTCCCAACCCCACACAGGAAAGGATGCTGTCATGTTCTTTCCAGAACTCTGTAAGGGTTAAATCTCTATCTCAGACCATCGGGGAGCACAAGGGCTGGCATTTGGGTCACCACTCAAGACTTTTGTTGTAAGTTAAAACTAAAATTCCAGTCACAACCCAAGTTGTTTGTATGTCAGACCAGTCATAACCAGAGGGTCCACAGGGGCATTTCCTGTATTTTGTTCATATTGTCTCCTATCCCCTCAAACAGTACTTGGGATATATCAGGTGCCAACACCTCTTGAGTGAATGGGCTCTTTATGTGATGAGAGCTGCTTCTTCTTGAACCTCCAGGTCTACCAATCTTCCTGCATAGCTAACATTTACACAGGGCTTCTTCGTGCCAGGGACTGTTCAGAGGGCCTTATGTAATTCTTATTTAATCTCCAGACAACCCTAACATGTACGTACAAGTACCATTTCAATTTACACATGAAGAAACTAATATATGAAAAGATCAATTAACTGAAAGTCTCACAGCTGGCACAGTCAAGATTTAAATTCAAGAAGTCTGGCTCCAAGTCCCCATTATGTCGCCTCTATCTGTGTACAATGTGAACTGTCTTTGTTCCTGAGAATAGCCTCATCACCTCTGCACTAGATGTCCCTCTTTGTATCATGGCTTAAATATCACCGATATGCTGTTAATTGTTAAATTTATATTTCCAGCCCCAAGAGGTCTCCAGGTTTCTGACTGTTCACCAGACAACCTGACGTGGACGCCCAACAGCCCCCTCTAGCCTAACCTCTGTAAGACAAAGCTAATAATCACCCCAGTTCCTTACACTGTTTCTCCTCATCTCAGGCAAGGGGACCACATTCATCCAGTTACTCAGGCCAAAGACTGCATTTCCCCCACCTCACACTCCATACCCAAGGCACCAGTGAGTTAGCCCCACCCTTAAAATACATTCTGGATCAAATGCCGCTCAGCACCTGTCCCTCCTACCTCTCTTATTCTGCCCAAATGTCATCCCTCAGAGATGTCTCCCCTCACTACGCCTTCTTAAAAGAGATCCTTATCCGGAACACCTCATCCTTCCAGTCCCTGCTCTGTTTCATTTTTCTTCATAGCTCTTGTTATTCTGTATTTACTTACTATGCACACCCTAACCTCTTGCCCTCCCCATGCAGAATAAGGACTCTAGGGAAAGAACTTTATCTAGTTCACTGCTCAAATCTCTGCCCAGGGCTGTATATCCAGCTGTATTCCCACTTGGCAATCCCATAATACATTACACACACCTGAAGGTAACATTTCCTTCCCTCTCTTACCTAAAGACAATAATTTCATCCGCCATTTCTTGGCGTCGCTTGTACTGTTGCAAACATATAGAGCAATAATCCTGTTTGGGATTCAGTCCTCGTGAGACAGAAGCTCTTAGGTTACACAATGACCAATGGAGATCTTGGTTGAGAAGGCTGGTTGTTGTTTCTAGCAGGGTCTATGAAAAACCAAACCAAACGATAAATAAACAAGTGGTTATTTTTTAAAAAGGCAGAGATGGAGAATGGGACTTATTTTTTTAGCTGCAAACAACTGAAATTAATACACTACAAAGCTGATAAAACATACGACCTCACAAACTTAAACACTTAAAATTAATGTTCTTAATATGTATATTGAGATTTTCAAGTCTGTCACTAGTATAACGTGTGCTCTACCATTCTGTATCTTAACTCAATATTGATGACTTCCAAATGAGCAGATAAACTCAAATTTATTTATTACATTTATATACTAACTTCTGTCTGGATGGCTCAGATTGCTGTAACAAAGAAGCACCTGGATCCCTGATTTTTTATTGAAACTGCATTCATGGCAATGTTTCAAGTAACCTTTCACCAGAAAGGCTAATGGTCATTACTTAGTTTTCATCTCCCTTGGGCAGAGATATTTTCCTGATCAGCACATACAAGCAATCTGAATCTACCAAGACTCTGACATCTGTCAGTAAGTCACATAAAGACATCTTCACAGCTACCACATTAAGCAATTAGAAGATTCTGTGCTTGTAAGGTATTGCTTGCATGCTATAACTATTTCTTAAGAATCATATATATCATGGGGCTATGGAACCAGGTTCTTTTCTGTGTACCCCAAAGGAGAAGATAGAGTTTGGTACTGCCCAACCTCCCTGCTACAGAGTTTAGTTGCCTGTAATGCAAGATTGTTAGTCTCAACCATCTATTTCTAGTTCTTTCCAATCAGTGTCATCTATTTCTCCTCTTGTAAAGATTCATAGTTGGCAAATTTTTCTACCCTGCACTCAGCTTTACTTATGCCACCCTGGTATCTGGTACCTATAGGGCAGTAAATTTTACTGGACTATGTGTACTTAGCAAAACTCCAACTTTTACAATACGCAAGGAAGGGTCTATCTCCTTTTTTTTTCTTTTTCTTCTTTCTCTCAAATTCTTAAAATAACAGATAACATATCAAACATGCCTAAATGATAATTTTCCTAAGAAAAAAGAATCTTTACACCAAACTGGCACAAATAAGCACCACAAATAAGCACTGAGATTTAAAGTTACAAGTAATTTTAGGTTAAGGGAAGACTATGATCACTTTTGGTTAGTGGCAATGAACTATTTCAGGCTATTTTTAAAAATGTTAAGGACTAAAATATATAATAGATGTGATGAAATAGGAAGAAATGGCTCAAAATTAGAAATATGAGATACTTGGTTAATAACTAAAATAATTTATGCAAAAAAGCATAGTATTATTAGGAAATGAGTTGAGAGATAGATTAGCAATTCAAAATATATTCTTTTAAGATGATAGGGTATTTACCATTGTTATTCTCTATTTTTGTTATGAAAAATTATTCTTCCATGGAATTGCTTTTATATTTTCTTTATTAATATCTACTTGTATTACATTAAAATAAAGTTTTAAAGTAAAAAAACAAACAAAAGAATGTTCAGTTTTATTTTACAATTTTGTATATTAATGGTGACCCTTCCTTTTGATGGGTAATAGCTTTGTAATCAATTATGTTTTCCAGAAAGTTTCTCATACTGCCATTTTGGAAGGAAGATACTAGTCTTACCACCAATGAATAAAAATTATAAAATGAATCTGGAATCTGGAATAGACGCAGTTCCATATTCTGGGGTGTGTGTGTGTGTGTGTGTGTGTGCGCACGCATGCGCGCGCGCGTGCGTTATGTAATCTCTTTAACTTTCAGTAATTTTTAAATAAAAAATACAGACACAAAAAGGGGAGAGCAAGTAAAGCAAAGTAAAAAATATACAGCTTTTTTCTGCCTTGACAGTCTTTGATATAACAAACAGTTTACTTACCTGTTCATAGTTAAAGGTATCTAACATTCCCAGAATAAGGCCCTGGATTTCTCCAAGTTTTCCTTTCCCATAAACTGGATCCTAATTTTTTAAAAAAAATCAATTTTATTAATGATTCTTGGTACTTTAAAATTACTTTAAGATATAAGGTACTGAAAAATACTGAAGTATTATTTACAGTCACGAGATATTTATTTTTCCATGAACTTTCCACTGGAAATGCACATGAATCTCTGAATATTGCAAACTTTTTTTTTTTTGTACTGGGGATTGAACTCAGGACCTTATGCTTACAAGGCAGCCACAGCGCCACTGAGCTAAATCCCCGGCCCTCAAATATTTTGACAAGCAAAATTTAGGTGATCTAAGCTTCTTCCTTAATAATCTTTATGAGTTGAATTCAACTTCAAGTTTTGCTTCACCAAGATGCTTCCTCTGCTTTATATTCATCGATTCTCCTTTGAGTTCTTTCTTTTTATTTTTTTTCTTTTTATTGAGTTTATTGGTACAATCTAGGTGTACAATACAGTTACATTCATCATTGGGATTCTGTACCTTTACATAATAGGTCTTGATTCTCATTTTTTCCCCTTGTTCCTGCCCTCCCTTCACCCCCTTCTCTCCGCCCCATTTACAAACACTTTATTTCCATTTTTTCAGTTTCTCATATTTTTTTCCTCTCCCTTATTACCTTTCCCCCACCCTTCCCACTTTCCCTACACCTTTAGCCCTTTACTTCCTATTTCACATTATTAATTATTTCATTAGGATCCTGTGTACTATTATAGTTTTTCACACCAAAGAAACTATTTGGTATTTCAGTTAAAGAAATCTCTGTATGAACATTAAAGATAGGGAATCCTAAAATAAAACTAAAAAGGAAAGTAAAAGAGAAAAGGCAATGATGTAACATTAAAGTAATCCTTAATTCTGGAGATGAAAATGGTCCCTGAACATATTTAAATTGCTTCTTGCTCTTATAGTCTTATCTTATTCTTTTTTTCATTATTTAGAGAATACTTTATTAGTTTCTGTAATCAAACCCATGTAGATATGACCTTATATATTTAGTACAATGTGTTACCCCTGTACACATGGAAAACAAATAAAAAATAAAAATTAAAAAAATTAACATTTCTAGACCAATATGGCTGTCCATTTCTGTACAATGCCATCTCAACACAGTAAACTGGGATGACTTTTTGCAAAATTGGTAGCACCGTTAAAGTTTCCCAAAATTCAATTTATATATATATATATATTTATATTTAAATAAAAAGACTAATAATAGCAGTATGCATTGATAGCAGCAACAGCTTTTCCAGGTGAGTTCTTTCTTATAAGCTACGTCACAGCTAATGTACTCAGTAGTACTAGAATGTGTCCAACAAGTTTCTTTTGTGATCCACATTTAGCTACTCCCGGGCCAAAAACAACTAAATTCCTTCAGTTTTAGAGACAAGAAAGACCTAAAATCACAGCTCACAGTTTTTAAAAGCTCTTTCCATAATGTCACTGCTGATAAACCACAGGTACCTCTGCTTTTTTACCTTAGATGTGCCAAGGAACTTGCTTACTATGTATGATTTGTAAAACACTAAGTGTATCAAAAACAAACAACAACAGCCCACACAAAACCAAAATGGAAACCCCTACAAAAGCCAAAAACTGAAATCTAACTATCCAGAGCTAAAAATTGTTGGCATGTTGATGTATATTGCTCTAGTCTTATTTCTGGAGGAAAGAAAAAGATATATTTCTTAGTATACTAAATTTGAGTATTTTACATAATATTTTTATACTTTTTTAACTTAATGGGGTATCATAAGTACTTTCCCATATCATCAAATATTTCTTAGTGGCTGCAGGGTATGAATCATATGAAAATACTATGATTTATTTAATCATTCTCTGCTGTTAAGCATTTATATTGTCCTTTTGCTCAAACCCCATATATTATCAAATTCTAGTGGCTATAAATCTTTGTCTAAATTCTTATATATTTTTTTGAGGAGATTTCTAGAAAGGACTCAAAGAGCAATGGCTATCAATATACATTGCCAAATTGCTCTTTCAAAAGTTTATTACGCAGTTTTAATCTCCATCAGCGTGTCTGTGTGCTCATTCTGCTGTACCTTCGGCTAGACTGGTAATTACAATTTTAGAAACTGCTAATAAATGAGCATGTTAAGTCTATTATTTCACTTTTATATGAAGTTATATGTGACACAGATGAATTTTCCATGTCCGAGAGAAATCCAATTATATACTAAAGTGAACAGTAGCTGCTATTTATTAAATAGGTTGTGTACGCCATGTACAGAACTAAGCACTTTTTACATCAGCCCTCTCTATCTCTGTGTTCTCCAACTATAAATTCTACCACTACATACTGAAAACATTAAGAAAAGAGTGCATCTGTGCTAGATATGTATGGACTTTTGGCCTTGTAATTATTCCACAAACAATAGAATATCACAACTCTTCACATAGCATTACATTTTACCAGGAAATTAAAAGTCATCTAAAGGTGACTAAAGTATACAGGAGGATATACACAGGTGGTACAAAAATATGACACCATACTACATAAGGCACCTGAGCATCCCTGGCTTTTGGTGTGCTCCAGAAGTCCTGGAACCAATCCCCACAGAGAGTGAGAGGTAACTGTCACTAAATTTCTCCAGCTGTATTTTTTGTTTGTTTTTGTTTTCTTGTAGCATGGGGGATTGAACTCAGGACCTTCACACCGAACTATGTGAACTTTTTTATTTTGTGAAAGGGTCTCACCAAGTAACTAAGATGCTTAGGCTGGGCTCAAACTTGTGATCCTCCTACCTCAGCCTCCCAAGAGTGCACGGATTACAGGTATGTACTACTAAGCCCTACTCCTTCAACTTTAATAAATGAAAATATTCAGACCTAGGCTGGTTAAGTAAAGTATAAGACACAAAAGTATTAAGCAGATGAGCTGGGATTTGAATCTAGGTACTTCAGAAACCATGTTTTTAAGGGTCTTCCATGTTTACACTCGCCTCCCAATTACAGAAACATAAAACACTAAACTTAATTTTTATTGGAAAATATGGGTAAAATATGGGTAATGTTTCTGGCTATTTCGTAGGGAATAAAATTTTGGTGTTATAGGAGTAACTATGAGTTAAGAAGCATAAAAGGTTAAGGAAGCAGGAAAAACTTGCAGAACAGTCTCAGGATTGGCTTATTTTTCTCATGTGGGCTCCAATGATAGCTCATGAAAACCAGGTAGAACAGCTTCTAACTCACTTAGAGTGACACAGAGCTGTCTGCCATAGGTTCCCCTGGTCCTTTCAGCTGCTGAAGTTATACTGAAGAAATGCAAGGCACACAGTAACTGTGTACTGTGTACTAATTAAATTTATGAGTAAGGCTTGAACAAGTCACATAAGCTTAATAGAAAATTTTTGCTTCACAGCTAGAGATTTCATCTCTAAGCTAAAGATATAAGGATGACATGTGAGGACTACTGTACTTAAAAAGACAAAATTATGAGTATCTCAGACTAGTCCTTCCTAGAAAAACAACTCAGGTCATACATCTGTCAGACAATTTCTTCTTTTTGTTTTCCTTGCATAAAAACAGAACCATGTTAATGCTTTTCCATCTTTATTTAATTATGCTTTGGTCAAGCTCCCAATCAATACATTATTTCTTTTTTCTTTTTTTGGTACCAGGGATCGAACTCAGGTCCTTGTGCTTGCGAGGCAGGTGGTGGAACCACTGAGCTAAATCCCCGGCCCCATACACTATTTCTTAAAGTATCAATGGACATTGTCATATCTTATATCTTACCTTGCATAAAAACAGAACCATGTTAATGCTTTTCCATCTTTATTTAATTATGCTTTGGTCAAGCTCCCAATCAATACATTATTTCTTTTTTCTTTTTTTGGTACCAGGGATCGAACTCAGGTCCTTGTGCTTGCGAGGCAGGTGGTGGAACCACTGAGCTAAATCCCCGGCCCCATACACTATTTCTTAAAGTATCAATGGACATTGTCATATCTTACTGTCAAGAAATCTATTATAATATCTACTATAATATATGCATCCAATATTAAATAACTGGAGATCTGGCAGGTTTTTATGGTAGGAATACTTTGGATGATAAAGATGTCTTAAAAGGTTAAACTCTAGGAAAAAGAAGCCATCTTTATAGGTCATTTCTATGTTTATATCAGTACATTTTACTTTACTATACATAATTTAAAAGCAAAACAATGAAAACCACCGCATACTGGGACAACATATAAATTATAGAATGCAAAAGTGAGCTCAAGGCTTCTGGCACAGCATGTACACAATCTATTAACTCTTCAAATTATTTTCCAAAGATGTCAGCTACATTTTTTAGCAAACAGTAAATGGTGAGTTTTCTCCTTAACTTGTTTGTAAATTATGAAAAAAGTGTACATTTGGTACTCCACATAAAATTTTACAAAGGCACACCAGAAAAAGGTGATTATTGGGTTTTTTTTTTCCTACTGTTTTCTGGTACTTATTGCATTGTGTAGGTCATATAGGTATGTGATTTGTTTTTAAAATGAAATTCTTTACTAAATGAGCATGATTTTGAGATATAAATGATGCCCTAATTTGTTTTCTTTCATTCCCTCTGTAAGACCCATTAACAGCTTCTCAGAAACCAAGGATTACTTTTGCAATGGAATAAAGACAGAATGTGCATGACAAAAATATGGATCCCCTAAAGATTCTCCCTTACTTATAAACTAATATTCTTTAGAGAAGCTTATATAATCAAGGTCCCAGATATCCGTATGAACTTCTCATTTGGAAAATTAACTTTCTAAAATTTATCTAAACATCTTAATAACTGTCACTCTCTATTTCCTCTCTAAGGAACCTCATAAAGATGAATATGAAAAGAACCTGACTTACGTTAGGTATGGAACAAAAGACCTGAAACTAGAAGTCAGAAGATCTGGGTTAATGTTCCAGCTGACCTAATTTAATAACTAAATAAACTAAGGCAAGTCATTGAATCTTTCTGAATGGCACTTTTCTCACTAGAAATATAAGGA